AGGGAGAGGGCTGGGGCAGGACGCGGAAAGCAGGCGCGGTGCAGCTCACCTTCACATGCTCGTAGTAGCTCCCGGTGCGCAGCAGCGCGACGCCTTTGAACTCGGACTCGAAGTTCTGCAGTCTGCGCAGTAGGTGGTCCACGACCCTGTTCACTACCTCGGCCGCCGCCGAGGTGTCCGGGCGGCTCAACCTCAACTTCTCCAGCACCGCCCGGAGCTTCCAGCCCCCAGGCGCCGCCTCCCTGCGGTCGAGACTCGCAGCCGGAAGGAGCGAGTCGGAGCTGGGCACCTTCGTGGACCTGGGCGGGGGTCTCTGCTCCCCAAAGCAACGCGCACCCCCCTGGCGGCGAGATCCAGCCCTGGGCAGGGACGGCGCTGGGACCGCGGGAGGCTCCAGCCCCTCCGCCGGAACTGCCTGCTCCTGCGCCGCGGCAGCGCTGGCCGGGTCCTCCGCGCGCAGAGCCGCCTTCTTGGCGCGGGACCCCGGCGCGCGGGCCTGCGTCACCTTCTTGGAGTCCGGGGCGCTCTTCTTCTGCTGGGATCCTGACTTCCTGGCGGAGCCGCATCTCCCCGCGTCGGGCTGGGTGGCCTTGGGGTCACCTAGAGACTCACTGGGTTCCGTCGGGGCACCCCTCGAACTCCGCGCCGAAACCTTGGGGACCGAGGTTCCGGCCTTCGAAGCTGTCCGCGTCGACTTTCCGCACCGAGGGTCCATGGCTAGCGCTCTTCGCTCCCCGAAAGAAGACTAAACTTTGGGGAAAGGCCGCGAGAGGAAGAACCAGCACAGGCGGTTGGAAATGAAACTTAAAAATCTGGCGGGAACTTAGCGTCTCCGGCGCTGGAGCTGGCACCTAAGAGGAAGCCCAGGCTGGGAAGTCACTGGGTGCCACGCCCCCGCCGGGTAGAGGCTGGCCACGGCCACCCCCGGCGCTCTCAGAGTCGCTGATTTTCTCGCCCTCCGGTGCGAGCTGTCTGGGGGAACCGTAGATACGGGAAACACTCTGGAGAACTTTGATCGCCAAACGCAATTGATGCTGTGCCACCTAAGATTATGTTGAAAAACTATATATCTCCTTGCACATTTGATGTTGCCAGAGAATCCTTCTCAATATAAGTTTAAAGAAGGGTTTTTTAATTATTAATAAGAAATAGAGGCCAGAGGCGGTGGCTCACATCTCTAATCCCAGCACTTTGGGAGACTGAGGCGGGAGTATCGCTTGAGGCCAGGAGTTCCAGACCAGCATGTGCAGCGTAGCAAGACCACGTTGAAATCGCGCTTTACAAATCAATAAAGGGGTGCAAGGTGAGTACTGTGGTACAGGCCTAAAACTCTGTGAAGGCACAGGCCTAGCTAAAAATATTAATAGTAATCAGCCACTGTCCCCATGTTCGCTTCTCTATAATTGCTGCTATGGAGTCACATAGCTGGTGATCATAAAGATTCTTAACTTTCCTCGTAGATAACATCACCCTTGTGAAACCTAAGGCTAGTTTTTGGGATGTCTTCCAGGCCCTGCATTTCCGTGGACCAGTGGCCCATACCAAGGAACGGACTCAACTGGTATTGGCCCCCACCCAAGAACCAACTCAGCAAAGAGGACAATTTCTACACCCCTATGGATCCACCCAAGCCCACCCAATTAGCAGACCCAATTGCCTAGCCTTTTGCCCACCAAACTGTCTTTAAAAACGCTTTCTCCCAAATTTTCGGGGAGATAGATTTAAGAAATTCCTACCATCTCCTCCCATGGCGCCTGCAATATCAAATGCTTTCTCTGCTGTAAACCCTGCTGTCTCAGAGTATTGGCTTGCCCTTGAGCAGTGAGCAATGAACCTGGTTGGGTGGTAACACCATCTCTACAGAAAAGAAAGAAAGAGAAAGAAAGAAAAACAGAAAGAAAAGAAATAGAAAATATTCAAGTTTTACAAGATGGAACATAATGAGGATTGACTGAAATTGGAATGAGTATTTCATTTTATTTGACTTTTTAAAAAAGCACACAAAATCTTGAAGAAGTGTAAAGTATCCATGATACTTTATCAATTGGTTCTTTAAAGCCCATCAAGGCCTCTTTTTGCACCCTTCCTTTTGCTCTCCCTTTGCTGTGACAGTGGGTCCAGTTGTCATCTGTGGCGTATGTATCATTCTCTGTAAACCTGTATCTGGCTCTTGCCCTATAATCCTAGCTTTCTCTACTCAATAAACCTCATTCTCGTGCTTGCCTTACTTTGGCGTGTCTGGTCATTCTTCTGCGATGAGCGCACTAAGAACCGACATTTCAGACTAAAACCTGACATATTTGGTGCCGTGACTCAGATGTTTCTCTCTGAGCAAGCCTTGCTCTGCGCCTTCCTGCCCTTTGGTCTCACTTGTCCACCCCCGCCATTTCGTGACTCGGATTTTTCTGCCTAGGCAAGCCTTTCTTCCATAATGCTCTTGCTTTGGGTTTTCCTACCCTTGCTTTTGCTTTTCCACCCTTGCCATTTCCGTGACTTGGATGTTTCTCTTTGAGCAAGCCAGCTCATCTTTCTCTCTTGCTTTGGATTTTCCTGCCTTTGCTTTCGCTTTTACACCCTCGTCATTTCTCAGACTGCATGGTCGAGTTCTTGGCTAAACCGGGGTGTGTGATACGGAATTTGAGAATGCGTCCCTTGTGGTAGGGAAGAGGTCTTTCATTTTGTTTCTCTTTAAGGAAGAGGGCTTTGTGCTGTAGCTTTTGTGTTTCCAGGCTTTGCATTAGTTTTGGTAATGTATTTTTCTTTCTGACGATGTGGTGCTTGTGGCCCCTTCCCGTATTAAGACTAAACCTGTCCTCCCCCTGGTTTGATCCGCACTAAGTCATCTAGCGCCTGACTCACTTGCTCAGTGTGAATGTGTACGCCCAGTAATAAGCAAAGCAGGACTTAGTGCCATTTAGGACCCCGAGGGTTTATACAGCCTGTGGATAGGCCTGTACATGAACAGACCTGGGTTACGTTGAGGCATCCCTTCTGCCCCTATCCCCACCGTGTCTCTCCCGCGTGGGGCACAGTTAAATACCTACACCCCTGGTCTTATTGGGTCTTTTTCCGTCACCCTCTAGCTGCTTTTTTCACTCTGTCCCAGGAAGTGCCTTCCTTATTGTGGCTGGCCACCCAATCACTGGTGCTTTTACAAACGAACCAGATCATTATAGCAACAGATATCCTTGTTCTGGTACTTAATAATGAGTGACTCCTAGATTTGAGTGGTTGTGCACATCCCCTCTTCCTACTGATCAGAAAAGAGACATCTGGACTGGTACTTCAGCCGTATGGCCTGCACTGTTACCTGGGGATGCCCAGCTCTAACAGATCCCAGTGGGTCTAGCCTCTCCCCTTTTCCCTGTTTGCCCCTCAGCCACGTGGTCCAGGTCATCACCTGGGGAGACCCAGCTCTGAGTGACCCCCGTTGCTACCCTTTTCTTTCCTGCACCTTTTCCCTCAAACTGGGACAAGTTTGATGCAGATGCTCTAATGTTTGATCTTATTCTGCACAACCACCTGGCCACAGTGCAAGCTGGACAGCAGAGAACAGTGGTCACCACATGGGACTTCAAATCACCCCACCATCTGACAATTAAAACAATTTTAAAAAAAATAAAGCCCATCAAAAA